GTCCTCTCCTTTCTCCTCTCCTTCCTATCTTTCCTTCTACTCCTCCCTCCATCCATCTATGGACATTCTCAATCATCCAAAGGTCATGGTTGTCCCAAAGGTGCTTTTCCAGAAGGCAACTGGATTTTCTTGGTTTTTTTCCTTGAAAACATTTCACTTTTCATCCAAGAAGCTTCTTCAGTTCTGGATGAGGTGAAGTGTTTTCAAGGAAAAAACCCAAGTCAGTCCAATTGCCTTTTGGGAAAGCACCTTTGGGACATTAGTTGTACATTTTCCCTTTTGTGCCCTTTAACATCTTGACTTTGGAAGTGGTCCATTGTGTTAGTGGCCTTCCTTTGTGTTGTGCTTTATTAAACTTAAGTTGGATCTTTCTCTGATACATTCTCTTTTGCTATTAGTACAACTTCTACAGTTATTGTAAAATATCATATAATTGTGTATCCTACATGATACTTGTAAAACTTTCAAATAAATTTATATAAATCTTAATAAAATGTTGAAGTAATTGCCTGAATATAGCTCATAGCTTAGTCCATTCTAAAACTTTACATAATCTCAAACCTGTTGGCAAACTGGAAATCTTAATTCCAGTTTAATTTTTTGAAGTATTATTGTAATGGAAAACATGTAATAGTTTTGTAACAGTATTTAAAAAACTCAGTTTTTTTTAAAATATAAATCTCTGTTCTTATTCAATATTCTTAAATATAGAAGAAATCTGAGAAATAGTGTGGTTTAGTTACTAGCTCACAGAACTGTGCTGCTTCTCTGTGAACGATATGTCTCTGTCTTAAGCCTCGGAAAAATTTTCCCTTGGAAATCTCTGTTGTTCATTCTGAAGCCTACAAGCGAACCTGAAAGAAACAGCTTCTTTCCAAATGCTTGAAAATAAACCAAAGAGGCCTGCTCACAAATTATTTTGGAACTGCAGTTGCAAAATTCTGCAAAACGTGAAAATGATCTTAACTGGGCCCATCTGGTACAAATGTGGTCATGGGTGCTTGATTTGAAAGACAGCGCATATAATAACTAGCAAACATCTATTCTTTGTTTTTATAAGCTAACCGGATAAAACATTTGTAGGTTTGGCACTTATATTGTGTTTATTACAATGGTCTTGGACGGCACTGCAGAGTAATAACTGCACACAAGAATAAATAGTAAGTTCTGAGAACTGCAGCTAGAATATTCCTTAACCCTTTGATCTTAGGAAACACACTATCCTTTTTGGAGAGGCCATCCTCATGCTTATATTGCTATATCAGTGTTAGATTAGAAAATCCATTCTTTAGAATTAGTATAATTTTAAACTATGAAAACAGTGAGATTTTAGTTAAATGACGTATCTGATTTTTGTGACACGCCCAGAACAATGCTTTTTTTTTTTTAAACTATTTCAGGTCAAGCTTAATTGCATTTCACTTATGTTTATATTGGAAACATTTCTGTTGAAGGAAACTGTGCAAGTGCTTCAGTCTTTTGATTGTAAATATATATGTGTTGTTTTTTTAATCTAGAAATTGACCAAAATGATTTTTTTTCTTTTTTAATGTAGATAATTTTGGTGGAAAATAAAGAACAGTCACTCATGAGTGCCGAAAAAAGAAGTGATGAATTAGGATTACAAAATATTTGGTTCATCCAAGCAAATATGGACAATTTTAAAGGAAGTTTTAATATTGGGGTAAGCTACTTTAGAATTATAACTATGACCTTGTTTGCCCTTGAAAACTAAAGATACTCTCTTAAAACAAAGTTTATTTAGAAAAAAATATAAAAGTTTACAAATTTCTAAAATACTTGGGAGTTTTAATTTTGTTAAACTTGGAATAATGACAATTGAGAAATTTCAAACGTTTAGATTCAAAATTCAGAAAGGAACTGCTATTAAATTATTGATTCTCCAACATTATGCTCATTGTACAAACCTATGTCTCTTCTTTAGGTAGCTAAAGAGCTTTTAAACTATTGAAACAGATTAAAAGAGTTTAAAACCATGCTAAGTGATTCAGTCTACAATGTTGCATTGCTTAGCAAAAGCAATTCTGATCCCAATAATGTTGTTCTTAAACTCAAGGACTACCATTAGGAAATTCTTTTCTTACAAATTAGTTGAAACATAATTTGTAAACTGCAAACGTGTACTATATGCTTCAGGAACAGGGGAGGAAGTTCATACTATGTTATGTTACCAACCAAATCTAGGCATTTTTTAAAGACTGTGTCACTACCAGGTTTGAGGAAATAGGTTTATTTTGTTAAATTTGCAGAATGTTGGTCAATGGCTGGAATATAGACTACTCCATGTTAGCTTAATTTGAGTTCATGTTGACATTCATTCTCATGTTAACTTCTATATAACTTAACCTAACTCTAACCCTAACTCTACTCGTAAGTATGAATAATAAAAGCACAATTAATGAGAGCTGATGTTCCAGTAAATAACTCGGCTGCTGAGAAAATGACATGGGAATGATTGATTCCTTAAGGAGCAGCATTCATTATATGCTTTCATTCATGGAAACATTTATCACTGACACTGAGACTTTTCCCTCTCTGATTCATGCACCCATCAAATATGCTCACTGCACCCTCTAATTTTGTAGAATATGAATAGGAAGCCTTTATTGCTCATGGAAGTTTGCTAGTAGAGCATTATATTCCACTCATATTTGAGTTATTGACTGAGACAGGTGGCCATAGAAATTGAACAATAAATAGTGTTTTTTTTTTCTCCAGGTGGCACTGCATGCTTGTGGAGTGGCAACAGACATGGTCATTGAACACTGTATCAAAGTTCGTGCAGCATTTGTTATCTCTCCTTGCTGTTATGGTTTCATACAGAATACATCCAAGTTTGCATTTCCACAAAGGTCAGTTGCCTTTCCAATTTGTTAAAATGTATACCATTTTATCAAACATCCGAAACTGCATTTTGGGTACACTGGTAAAAGCTTTCTCACATAATAGAGAAAACAGCAACTCCAAGCATTATGTTTAACAACTAGTATTTTAAAATGTTTAAAGTTGCTTATAAATTGTATCAAATATTTCAGCTTGTGTTACTTAAGAAAATACAAGTTACTAGTGCTGTGTGTTATGTAGAAAAGAAATACATAGCCCCAAATCACAGAATCCCAAAACATACAGTTGGAAAGAGTCATTTTGTTTATAAAATCCATGTGCTCAATGGTGAAATCTTGATTAAAGCATCCTGATAAATGTCTATCTGACTCCCAATTGAAGAGATCCAGTGTACCTCATTGGTCTTATTTTTGAGAAATCTTTTTCTAACTTTCAGTTAGATTTTACCTTCCTGTACCTTATATCTGTTCATCTGGGTCGTGCAATTAGAACCAACAGATCCTTGCCTCTCTTTGTGATGTATTTTCATGTTTACGAAGAATACAGGCTATCCTTACACTGTCTTCTCAAAGCTAAACAGGCCTAATTTATTTTAAATCTCAGAGGAGGCTTGGGGCAATGTTGGCGAATCTTTTTGGCACAAGTGCAAAAATGGGAGACTGCGCACACCAGAAACTGGAAGAGCAGCCACTCAGTTTGCATGTGCACTGGCCACCTGGTCTTCTGATTTCTGGTGCGCATGTGTGTGTGAAAACCAGGTGGTCAGTGCGCATGCACACACCGGAAACCAGAAGCTCATCTTCCCGGCATGCACATGGACACCGGGTGGCTGCTCCTTCAGTTTCTGGCACTCCCACACATGTGAAGACCTGCTGGCTGGCATACTGGAACCCAAAAGAGCAACAGGGGATGGCTCGCATGCCCAGAGAGATGGCTCTGCGTGCCAATTCCGGCATGCGTGCCATAGGTTCGCCATCACAGGCTTAGGGGATCCTCTGATCATTCCTTCTCAGAACCCATTGCTTCATAAAGTGTGATGCCTAGAACTAGGTACAATATTTAAAGTGTGGTTGGACCAGTGTATAATATGGCAGAATATTCTTTCCTGCTATTTGGAAAGTCATCTGTTGAGGCAGCCTAAAATTACGTTGCCCTTTTTCTTTCAGTCATGTCACACTCCTCATTTACACTTCAGGGTCACTTTCTTCCATGTTCCTCCTCCTATTATTTCCTGAAAAATGTTCCCTATTGGTTGGTATGAACTTAGGAAGGGTTTCCTCCCTTTGAAGAAAAAAATCTATTAGTAAGATAAGTTAAGAGTCTTCTGGAATGACCATAGTCTTCCAACAGATGTCTGGAAGGTTGAAATCCTATTATTACTCTCTGAAAGATTTGAGATTTATTTTAGAAGAAGTTGTTCACATTTTCTCTTTGAATTGGTAGACATTTGGAGACACCAACAACAATAATGTCAATAGACATATACCGCTTCATGGTGCTTTGCAGAACCCTCTAACCCTTATTTTAATCAATATGGTCTCTATAGCATTGCCATGTTGATTCACTTGGACAGAGGAGTGAATACTTCATTACTTCTGTTCCTTCTACAGCACATAAATATTTAACCGAGCTATAAATATTCACATTTTAACCCATCCCACCCCAGGATTCAGTTTTAAAGCTCCTCTAATCAAATAAAAATTCAAAGTACTTTTTTACCACTTCTTGAGAGTTGTTAGACCTTGTGCCAGCAGTCCATTATTTAGATAATTCAGATTGTGATCCCCTAAACCATTTTTTTTCCTGTCAACACCATTTGCATAGCCATTTCACCATTTCACTTGTGGTTTTCTAATTTTCCTCTCCAGACTCTTCTGTTGCAATCTTTGGGGAAATGTAATTTTTGCAGATGTTATCATGTCTGTGAGCTATGGAAAGATAAAGCAATAAGTGCAACTATTCTAAAGTATTCTTGTTTTTTCAGGAACATTTCCAATGTAAGTTTTTAAGAGTGCAACATAGTTAAAAACAAACTGATCCATTTTTAGAGGATAGTGTACTAAATAAAACATGTTTGGGGTGCTTTTCTCTTATATTATGTGCAACAACATAATCACTTGATTAAAAGTTTGTTTAGCATTTAAAATAAGATCTTCTTTTCTGTTGTAGCCATCAGTTCAAGAAAGTTCTGACATACAAGGTAAGGAAAAGATAAGGGCTTGGGTTTAGAATTTCATTGTGCGTATCTTTTTTATTTAGTTTAGTTTTATTGTAAAAAAAAAATCTCCCATTAAAAATATATCAAAATAGAAAACTTTAAAATATACATTTCTTGTTCTCCTTTTACTAATAGGATAAACATTTAGTAAATATAAATTTATTTTTAATTTATTTTCTTGTTTTTCAAATCCAAGAATCTCTAAGGCAGATCATAAAATAAGAGTTTAGAAAAGCTATTAATGATTTAAAACATGGGCCAAAAAAAACCTTAGTTTTGGTATTAAAAAAACTATATTTATCCATCAATTGTACGTATAAAGAATAGCTGTCAAATAGGAAATTTCTTCTTAATGTCTCCTATGGTATCTTAAATATGTCTGGAGTCAGTTTGAGCCCATCCAATAGTTATTAGGCCAGATACAGATCTGTGCATCTTTGAAACAATTTCCTGTTTTAACAACCATTTTGCTTCCATATGGTTTTGTTCTTTCCCTCCTGATCTTCTCTCCTGCTGAAATTGGACAGTGATTGTTTCTTAATAAGTATTTCTCAATTAGATGCTACGGTATTTGGAGTTGTACAGAGGTGGTATTCAGCCGGTTCACTTGAACCGGTAGTGGAAATCGTGGGTGGGTCCGGCCACCCGCTCCGGCTCTATGTCGTCCTATTTAGGGACGTTTTTTTCACTGGGCGCATGCGCAAATAGCACACGCACATTTGCGAACCGGTAGGGAAGGTAAGTGAAAACCACCCCTGGAGTTGTACGTCAGATGCTTATTTAAAGAGCTGCATATAACACATTAATGATCTCGCCTTTAAAGCTGTGAGATATTTGTATCAAATAACCATCCCACAAATCCAAAGGGCATTAACTTTAGCACACTGCAACATACTTCCCATAGCAGTGTTGGAGAACTGATATAAAAAAATACCATATGATCTGAGACTGCACTCCTGTGGACAATGGGCATTGAAAAAAAGCTCACATCCTGCTATACTGCATCTTCTGTAAGGACTCATGGATTCAATTCATTACACCTTGCCTAATAAAATATCTGAGAAATATTAATCTTTTTTATGTGCAACTGTTATCAGATCAGTATGAAATAGTTTCTTTGAAAGTGGCCAAATTCTGCTATGCTGTATGTAAAATTAGATAGACTTGAACTGCCCACCATAATCTATCACCAATTGCCATATATTATTCTTATATTTTTATTTTTTACTATTCTTATTGTTTTAATGCTTTCATTTGTTAGTCTCTGACCATAATAAAAAATGAAATTGAACCATATTAATGGATAGTTTTAAAGTTTCTAATAAATGAATATATATATATATATATAT